AAACTTGTTTTATTGAAGCATAACTAGAAAGATCTGGCTTTTTAAAAACAAGAATTGTTTCCTTTTTAATTAGTTTTTATACGTTTTTTAAGCTTTCTTGAGTGAAGTTATTTTTTGCAATATTTTAAGCAGTTTTGTACATTACTTTTAAAACATAGTAAATATAAAACTCCTAATTCTTAGGAGAAATATATTTTTTCATAATCTCCGAACTTGTTTTCAGGCGCGGAAATAAAGGCAATCTTCAGGAGATTTGCTAATAACCGTTGCATTTCCCTCCAATGAGTAAATTAAGGGGAAGACGTCGAGGTGATAAAAGAAAAAAAAATCCTTTAATCAATGGGCAAGAAAGGATGGCCTCGGGAGGAAATAATCCCGTCCAATTTTCCGTTTAAAGTGCCGACATTTCCCAGTTAATTACCTTTCTTTTTTTTTCTGTTTTCATAAAGGCGATAAAAGGGTCGACAATCGTTATATTCAGCCGTCGGGGACATATCTGGCCACCGCGCTTCCCACCCCCTCCCCACGTGGGATTTAATTACAACACGTGAAAAGGACAAGTTTTCCCATTAGTTTTCCGCGACCGTCTTGACTCAAAGCCGACTCGACAATCGTAACACGATCAAACCTGGAAATTGCGGAAGAAGTCCGGGAGTCGATAACTCCTCCCCGAAGGAAAAGCTACTGAATTAAAACTAATTAACAATTTAATCCTTATGTTAATGGGCTCTTTCCTTTTCATCAGTGCTCCTTTTTCATCGGGCCGGATTATCCGTCCGTCGAATCTCGTCTTATTTAGAAAGTTAGCAGATTGACATCAGACAGTTTCAAACTGAAAACCCTTTCAAAAGGCTAAAGACGTTCTCTGTTATTCCATTATAACAGTTACAACGGATTGTGTTCTTAATATAGCAAACTTAGCTCTAAAACAATGTAAATTGTACAAAAACAAACAAGACGCATTCCATGTATCCTACGCGAACTAGCAAAACTCACAAATGTATTTAACAAAAACACATGATCATTTTAAATAACCTTAAATAACTGACAAAAAGTCCACCAAATATGTTGAAAATCGGTTCAATAGTAAATTAAAAAAATAAAACTCATTATAACATAAAATGTATAAATTTCTAGATGAAGCGTCTTGATCCTTGGATAGACAGTTCCAATATTTCAAGCTAGGGGCGGTTTTATCGACAAACCTCAATTTTGTTATATTTATCTATATGATCCTGACAAATATTCCCTTTTGAAGCAATAAATTTCTTAATAAAAGTCTGGAAAAGTGAATTTTAAGAAGGAAGTAAAGATTCTTGGTTAAAAAGTTCCAATTTTCAAGCTATGGGCGGTTTTATCGACAAACCTAATTTTGTTACATTTTTCTATATGATCCTGACAAATATCTTTTTGTTACTATCCAAGTATTATCCTTTTGAAGTTATAAATTTCTCAATAAAAATATGGAAAGGGGTAGTAATTTAACTTTCAGAAGAAATTAAAATCTTTCGATAGAAAGTTTCAATTTTGCAAGCTAGGCGCGGTTTTATGGATAAACCTCAATTTTGTTATATGTATGTAAGGACCCTATTAAATTCTGACTTTTGAAGTCATAAGTTTCTCAATAAAAGTCTGGAAAGACGGAGTAATATATTTTTCATCGAGATCCTTGATTAGAAAGTTCTGATTGTAAACGCTAGGCGCGGTTTTATCGACAAACTCCATTTTGTTATATTTCTCTGTTTGATCCTGACAAATATTCCCTTTTGAAGCAATAAATTTCTCAGTAAAAGTCTGGAAAGGGGTATTTAATATTCAGAAGAAAGTTAAGATCCTTGGATAAAAAGTTTCAATTTTGCAAGCTAGGCGCGGTTTTATGGATAAACCTCAATTTTGTTATATGTATCTAAGGACCCTATTAAATTCTGACTTTTGAAGTCATAAGTTTCTCAATAAAAGTCTGGAAAGACGGAGTAATATATTTTTCAGATGTAAGTAAAGATCTTTTGTTAGAAAGTTCTGATTGTAAAAGCTAGGCGCGGTTTTATAGACGAACCTCCATTTTTTATATTTCTCTAATGATCCTGGCAAATATTACCTTTTGAAGCTACAAATTTCTCAATAAAATTCTGAAAGGGGGTAATTAATTTAATTTTCAGGCGAAAGTTAACGTCCTTGGATAGAAAGTTTCAGGTTTGTAAGCTAGGAGCGTTTTTCTCGACAAACCTCAATTTAACCATTTCAATACCTAAATTTTCTATCATATACCTCAATTTTATAAATTTTTGTAATTATCCTGGCAAATGTTTTCATTTGGAGCTATAAAGTTCTCAACACAGCGCCTGGAAAGGTGTAATTCTCTACCTCTCAGACCTTTTGACAAACAAACTACCAATTTTGTAAAACAGGGGCGGTTATTCCGAAAAAACCTTTAATCTAGTTATTTTTCCCTGTTCATTTTGGCAGGTTTTTGGACAAATCTTTTAATGTAATGTCTCGGAAGATGTGTTAATGGCACTTTCACACCTAAGAACTATAATTAATTCTTAATTAATAACTCTATAATTAATTCAACGTTTGCAAACCAGAAACAGTTTTGTGGAAAAATCACAACCCTTTGGTTTCCCCTAATGATCCTACCAATTTTTTTTTGGGTTTTAGAGGATAACCTTTCTCTATAAAGTGACTCGGATGCTATCCATTTCTCCATAACCTGACTGGAATGATGTGATAATAATATTTTTAGTTCTAGGACCAGATTCTTAGCCAGAGAATCCCACCTTTGCAAACCAGGAGCGGTTTTCGCAAAAACCTCAAACCCTGTATTTTTTAAGTTCATTTGTATGAGGCTACACAATATCCTTGGGTAGGACGTTCTAATTTTGCCAGCTAGGAGCAGTGTTGTGGAAAAACTTAAAATGCTGTTTATTTTCTTATATGACGCTTCGTGTTTTGAGGAGGTGGAGAGTATACAGTAATCATAAATAATTTGGGAGGTAAGAACAATGCCATGCAAACAGCAAATGCTTTCATAAATTTGAAAGAAAAAGTCAGTAATGTTCTGTATTTTGGAATTTAATTGTTTTTATTTCTGAAACAAAGGGTAATTAATTAAGCATAAGTAGAATTGAAACGCACTCGTGCGTAAAGGCGCAAGGCAAATAAAAAACCTACCTATTGTAGAAAAGCAATCCGTGAAGTACCCCTCAGACAAAAGTTTATGAGAGACTTGGCTTTTTCGGTTTTCATTTTTAATCAGACATCAAAATTCCGAACGCCATGGGGTATGTTACTTAATGAGAATCTTCCACTGGGAGAGCAGATGGCCCGTTATACTTTGAAGACAATAGACAACAGTCAACTATAAAGAGGCATATTAAGAAGTCGTCGTAAGCCCCCTTTTGTCCGCGTGTGCGCTTTCATCATGCAGATTCCGGTGTGCTTGAAGCAATAACGTGTCCTCTGCTTGTTAAAAAGGGGAATTTTTTTATGACGGAACATCATTGGAATAAACTAAAAGTTCCAAATTTTTACCATACCGATTCAAAAAATCTTTCTCTATTTTTGGAATAATGTATTCAAGTAGCATACTTGGGAGAAATTTTGAACTTAAAAGCATGAAAAAAATAGAAATTCGACTAGGAGCCCAAAACATCTATAAAAATACCAAGGAATATTTTGAGTTTAAAAAAACTAATTGCATTGGAAGAATGTTTGCACAATTCTTAAGGTGTTTTTTTAAAGAGCTCACAACCATTTCATAAAATCCATTTATTGAAGAGATTTATTTTGAGGGAGCCAGACTTACCTCTTCAGTCTCGTGTCAGTTTTGAATGCGTTTCCAAAATCGATATCTTCAACAAATGGATTTGGTGCAATGATTGGGAGTTCTTAAAAAAACCTTCAAAACTTTTTAAAAGCAATTTAAAGTAAATATGTATAAAAGAAACAGGAATGAGGACGAAAAGAATGAAAATCTTTTAAGATCTTATAAAATACGAAAATTTTCGGACATCACTCCGGGAGAAGTAGAATTTGTATAGTTCGCTCGAAAGAGAGAGAGAAAAAAAAGAGACTGAGTGAGAACCGTAAGAGAGAAAATGAAATTAAGAGAAAGAGAGGGTAACAGAGAGACAGAAAAAGAAAGAGACAAAGAAATAATGAGTGAGAGAGAGAGTATGAAAAGAACCGTAAGAGAGAAAATGAAAATAACAAAAAGAGAGAGTAACAGAGAGAGAAAAAGAAAGAGTGAAAGAAAAATAATGAGTGACAGACAGGGGGTGAGTGAGAAGGACTGTAAAATAAACAACGAAAAAAGAAAGATACAGAGGTAGGGAGAAAAAATAGTTTGAAAGAGAAGAAAAAGTAAGCTGGACTAAAAGAGGGAAAGAGAATGTGTATGATAGAGAGGGAGAGAAATAGAATAAAAAACCATGAAAGATAAATGAGATTGAAAATGAGAGGGAGGAGTGGGTTAATGAGAAGGACGGTAAGGGAAAAAATTAACGAAAGCGAAAGAGAGTGAGATAAACTGAAAGCGAGAGAGGGCAAGAGAGAGAATGAGAAAAGTGAGAAAAAGAAAAAAGACTGATTTGTCTAGAAAAACAACGTCCTTACTTTTCACTTCCAACCCCCAACAGTAAAGTTAAAATTATTGTTAATATTTTTATTGAGTTGGCCAGTAATTTCTTATTTACGTGTGGTTTCGAAGCGATAAACCGCTTTGGTGGAAACATGCGAAAAACATTAACAGCAGCAATGGTTAAATTATGCAATTTGAATTGTAAACCTTGTTCCACTTTTATAAAGCAATTATAATTATTTTTGACATAAGTCGTTTTATTGAATAAAAGATTTGCGTGTGAGATAACCGGCTTTGGAGGATAAATTGTTTTCGTTGTTTAGCATCGATCTTTTGCTTCGAAATAGTATTTGAATCGACGTCTTCTGACTTGTTTTAATTTTAACCTAATCCTTTTTAGAAAGCGATTGGGAAAACAATGCTCTGTCGAATTTTAACTGATTTTTTTTCTACTTACGTGTAGCGGCTCTTTGATGATGGGACCGGCCTGACCGATGTACAGCGTCGATGCCGCGTCGAAGTTGAGCTCCTTGGGTATCTTATTCACCTTCACCTCTTCCTGGTGGACGCAGTTGAGAGCGATGTCGACGGCGAAGTCGCGAACGGAGATCGTCACCGGGGTGAACTTCGAAAAAATCGTCTCCAACTTGAACGAAGCGAGCACGTTCGACGTGTAATGTCCGCTGACGTTGATGTCCGTGTAGTATAGGGTCACGTTGCTCCAATTTTGGTCGATCAATTTGACCGAAACGCCGAATTGCACGATCTAAAACAAAACGGAACATTTTAAGACGATCTAATATTTAACATCCCTAGGTCATAAAAATCCATGTTATGTTGAAACTGGCCTACATTTAGTTCGCCTGATCTCGCCGTAAGTTTTGTAGATTATTGTACTCAATCGATAAAACTAGATTTCTTATTACTACTATACCCTACTACTATTTTTACTACTACAACTAACTCAATTTAAGCCTGGAGCTTGACCTATGGTCTCATTCTTCAAAAATATTTGTCCGTGTTTCTTAGGTGACCGGCTCTCCCTTAGTTTTCCCTTCATATCATCCTACTTAGCTTTTCAGTTAGTCTATTTTTAAAAAGTCAGATTTCTGCCTTTTTCTACGTTTATGGCCCAACCACTGTACTCTTCCTATTTGGGATAGGGCAGAAGGTAAGGTGATAGTCATTTCAGACTAGAAGATACGAATCTTCGAGGATAAAATCTTAACCACACTCTGTTCACCACTTTTGGCCAATATTTATATCTCACTTTCGGAAGTTTCCGGATCTGATAATTGTTTCATTAACGAGTTTTCAGTGGAGAGTCTTCTCATGATGATTAGGCAATTTTTGCTGAAATTTTTCGCATTTACATGATGTTAATCTTTACATAAGCTACCTTCTTTTTAAAACTTTTCGGTCGTTAATCTTCACTGATCACGGAGTTCTCAAAGTCCGTTTTTATACCCAAGCTGTTTCAACCATTGTGGGTTTAAAGGTTGGTTTTTTTCCCCCATCCACCTCTCCGCCGTACCTAAGGGAGACCCCATACCGGCGGACCACGGCCACTAAACTAATTCAAATGGGATGCAAGTTTAGGGGATCTTATTGTGCTTAACGTCTTCCTTCGACCCTGAAAGGGAAGACCCAAGGAAGAAGAGAAATATTTTTCTTATTATTAATTTATCTAATCTAATAGGTCTCCCATTTGATGGTTAATCCTTTTGAATACACTTTCTAGTAAATACAATATTTTAATGAATAAATAACAATTATGGGTACAAGGAGTAACCAGCCCGGAATTAAAAGTTCAGGGAAACGCTAAGATCTAACAAGTAACTTATCATAGGAAGAAAAAGAAGAAAAAACTAGTCAGGTACTTTATCCACTATAGCTTGGCTAACAGGCTTGAGGGCCTCAAACGTCCTCTTTTCTTTAACCAGTTCGTTGATGGTGGGTGGCCAAGTGTGGCGGAAGAGGAGCTTTAGTGGTTCCCTCACACTCTCAAGGAGGGGGCAGTTGAATAGTCTGTGTTGGACACTGTCATCAACTCCGCAGTCGAGACACAGTGGACTGTTAGCTCTACGGAATCGGTGCAAGTAAGCGTTGAAATTTCCGTGATCTGTCATTATTTGTGTGATCCAGAGATCTGGTTGAAACCACTTTGATCTTGCTCGGTCCTCAATACTGGGTGTTAAACTCGTGGGTTAACCTTCCCTTGGTGCTTCTGAGGGAAGGGAAGGTTAACCCACGAGTTTCTACCCAGTATTGAGGACCGAGCAAGAGGAAAGTGGTTTCAACTATATTTCTGGATCACACATATAATGACAGGTCACGGACATTTTATAGGTTGGTACCCCCAGTATTTAAAAGTTGGTTGTCGTCTGCGGTTGGTTCATCAAACTTTGTTTTGATTTTGTAAAGGCAAAACAGCAATAGGAGTCTGAACAAAATGGTTGACAGTGCATCATTGTCACTTACGACCTTGAACCTGTCATCATGTCATTTTTAAAGGAACACCCAAGAACTTAATTATTTTAATGATGTCTTGAAAAGTTCTGTTCGAGCAAAATCGACTGAAGTATCTCAAAGTTGTCGCGATCTTAGGAATGTGACATGACAGAGGAATCATTGCGATTGTCCACCCGGTGGAAAGTTAATTCCAATCCGAACGTTGTAAATGTCTTTTCGAATGGGGAAAATCAATCGTTGGCAATCGTATTGCAGTCATCCCATTTCGTGTGTTTTTGCCGTTTGATCGTTCTCGACGAGCCCAGAGGGGACAACGTTGAAGATTCACTCGGCACTCGCACATTATGCCGGTTTAGAAAGAGCGCCTGGGGGGACTTCGGTAATTAATGTTTGCGGGGGTCGGGGATGCTTCCTGGACTCTAACGACTCCGCGGTGCCGAGCCGGGGGTTTATCAAGCCCCCGAACCTCCCCCCGCAGCCAACCATACCAAATCAACCCTCAGGAACTGTAATCTACGCTAATCCCTCTCTATGGTGTAGTTGAAAGGTATCTTCAAAATAAATTCAGCCCTAATTTTAGGATTTTAACCAAAATTCAAATCTTACTACAAATAAAATATAAAGATCGAAAAAATGATCACCACTTTAGAAAAGAATCCATAAATTGTAAACTAAGAGAAGTGTTGTATGCATGCCAGATTCTACTGGAATTTTGCAGATTTACTTCAAATTAGTCATTCTGACAAGCCTTTCATTTATTTTATTTTCATGTGCTTTTCGACAAAAAGATAAAACAAACAAACTACAACAACACAACTACTAGTAAAAAGGAAAATCAAAAACAACGAGACCAGATAGATTACAATGAAAATATTTTACAAACGAAATAGTACCCTTTTACCCTCTTTTTTTGTGAAAAATTTGTTAAAATAAATTCTTAAATCTCCCACCCCCAAGGATTAAAAATTATCAAGTAACCCTAAAGAGAGGGAAAGCCAAGGGAATAAAGATGCCAAGTCAGGACCGAAGTTGGTCATATAGAAAGATAGGTTTTGTACAAGAAAATGCTTACTTTTTGGTTTTGGTTTTGATTATTTTGTTAATTAATCACAATCTTTTAGTATTATAACTTGAAAAACTATCTAAACCATTATCTGTACTTAAATTCACTAATTTCTTGGTCCGCTTGACAAATTAACACATTACAATTAATTAAGGTTTTAGTCGAGATGAAAAAAAAGTTAATGGAAGGAGCGGGATTCGAACCCACGATCTTCGGCTATATACGACGCTGCTCTACCACTTGAGCTATCGTGAGGGAAAACTCATAAGGTGGGGTTGAGATAGGAAGTTGATGTCCGAGTGGATCGAGCAGCGGCGTATCTAGCCGAAGATCGTGGGTTCGAATCCCTCTCGTGCCATTAACTTTTTTTCATCTCGACTAAAAACCTTAATTAATTGTAATGCATTATCTGTACGTTGATATTTCTCTATTCAACCACTAACAATTCTATGAGAGCAAATTTAAGCTGCCAAGTGTCATAAAGCCAGAAAACGAAAACATCAACTGAAATTAAAGCTGCAAATTATTACACAGTTTTATTATTTTCAGATCATATCTTAGGGGGAAACGATCAATCGTGAATATAGTTTAAGGATTAACGATTAATTTAATCAATGGCGAGTTTGATTAAAGATTAATCTGATTTATCGATTAGTCTAGATTCACGATTAAACTATTATCCATGGCAGTTTGATTAAAAACATTAATCGTTAATCAGTTTACTATTAATGATTGATTGTTAATCGTTAATCGTTAATCGAGTGAAATTTGCCCAGCTCAGCCTTTCAGGGTAATTTGAGATGGTTCTATTTTTCTCTTTTTGATTTTTTTTTAATTTATGTTCAACAGGTATTTATGTTTTTAAACTGTTTTGTCAACACTCCCTTCTGTACGCCAATTTGGGACAACTATAACACATTAAAAGGATAAATTTTTATTTATAAATAAAATATGCGCAGGGATATTTTTTCGGGGTTTATAATATGACTGTCTCGCATATTTGAGCTGTTTTGATTAATACAATGAAAAATAACTAGCCTAATTCTGATTAACAGACCAATTAGTATTGTTGACAAGTTAACTTTCGTTTGTTCCATTCCATGGATATTTATCGACAAGAAAAGCTTCAATAAAAATGAGTCTGTTGAGAAAAAAAATAATATGGGCTGTAAGTCGTATTGGTCTGGACTAAACAATATGGCCGATTCTTTGACTTTAACCCTTTTGTTATCGAATTCAACATTCTATGGGGAGCTTTTCTAGCAGATCTTTTTTTAGCAAAACAAATTCCATATGGGGTACAATGAAACGTTTTATTCCTGGAGAAAAACGAAAATAAAACCTTTCTTTCTTTTTTCAGATCTTCTGTTGATTTATAACTAAATACTTTATTGCCTCTCAACATGACACACAATTACGCAGAAAACGAACACTTTGAGCACTGAAGATGATGTCAATAATGATCGAAACGTTGGCACGATAAAGAAAATGTTTTTATAAAACCTACCTCACACCAGACCGCATCTCACCATCTCCGAATAATCATTAATTATTTTATTCATATAACTTAAATAATTCATTAATTTTTTAATTAATGTTCGTCTGAATATTTGATAGAATCGTGATTCTAAAACAACTGACAGGCAAAAAATTCCACCCACTTGTCATATAACTTGATTTGTATATATTTTTATATATTTATCAAAGTTTCACATTTTTTAACGTTTAATAATTGAGTCTTTGGCTTAAAAAAGTAAAAAATAATGTAAATTGCTAAGGAAAATGAAAAAAAGACGGACAGATAAACTTTGTTTTACATTTTTAATTAAAATTTCAATATTGCGTACTTTCTCCTCTTGCCTTAATTGTTTAGAAAACCAGTCTGGAAATACCTCTTTTCTGAAGGTTGCCCATTCTTTATTTCAAGATCGTGGATTGTATCAGGAAGTGATGGACGTGCTCTTATTCTTCTTTTGAGGTTATCCCATAAATGTTCGATGGGGTTCAAGTCTGGAGAACGGGCTGATCAAGCTAAGACCATGGTGTTATGCTGTTGAAGGTTTGTACTATGCGAGCGACATGCGGACGGGCATTATCTTGCAGTAGAATAGGATTGCCGCTGATGGCATGGACGATAGGAAACACACGATGGTCCAAAATTTCAGACACATAGCGAATGGTCATCAAAGACCATCCAAGAACAACAGCCAACTCTCTGCGACTCTCCAGTGAAATTTCCGCCCACACCATTACTGAGTTACGTTGAAAAGTTTGGCTCTGGGAAAAATTACAAGCTTTGTACCTTTCATTTCGCCTTCTCCACATTCCTTCACGCTCATCTGGAGATCGTAGAGCAAATCCGCACTCAGTACAGTAGATTCACGTCCTAAGATCATTGGGTGAGTTCTCGAGCAAATGCAAGCCGTACAACTCAGTGTGTTTTGGTCAATTTTGATCCTCTTAAGGGGCGAAAAGCCATTAGTTCATACTGATTTAATCTTCTTCGGGCAGTGCAGACAGTTTGACACCTAAAACTTCCTAAAGCTGATGAATCGTTTGAACAACAGTGAGGTGCCGGTTTCGCAAAATTCTCAAAGTAAAAAAACGGTCTTCCTGTGAAGTCTAACGGCGTGTCGCAGAGTTAGGTAGAGGACTCCGATGGCAATGGCCGCACAGCTGATGGAACGCTGATCATCAATAAGTGAAACTCCACGCGCAACATCCTGAGCAGAAGTGACAACCAAACATGATGAATAGGTTGAACAGTAGTACAATGCCGGTTTCGCCAAATTCTCAAAAATCAAAAAATGGTTCTGTTACCCTAGGACTCCAGAAATGGGCCTTCTCTGGTAGGACCCATTTTCTCGAAAACGTGTAACGGTGTGGCGCAGTGTGAGGTAACTCCGATGGCAATAGCCGCATACCTGATGGAACGCACATCATCATTAAGTGCAACACCACGCGCAATATCCTGAACACTATGTTGCATTTCTAAGATTAAAAATTGAAATAAAGAAGAAAAACAGATGAAAACTAAATAGTTTATTGCTTCAGAGACAAGCTCAATGAGACTGAATAGCCATTTTAATTTCTATAAAAACCAAACATTGAACACGTTTATCCTCGTTCTGGATTAAGATTTAAATTAAAACAGTTTAGATAAAAACAAATAGACAAGTTAAGAGTAGAATTTTCTCATATGGAGAAAATTAAAAAATCAATTGGATGGAATTTTCTGCCTGTCAGTGTATAAGGGTTTAAAAAAAAACCATGCGTCGCAATGCGTAAGAATTTTGTTTCAAACTTTGCTGAATGCAGGTAAAGCCTCAGTGGAAGACGATGCTCAATTACTCGACTGTCTAGGCCAGGATTCTTACGTTACAAGACGAGGATTATCAGGAACAAATAAGGCAACAAATGCTACCTTTAAGCCGCCATCTTAGAACACTCCGTGTTCGGATTATCCTCCGACGATTATCATGAATTATTAGTAGTTTATATAGCACAGCGGGTCGATGACGGCACTAATCTTCTCTAAAGTTGAAATAAAACTGGATAAAACAAAGCCGAAAAATATCTGTTTCTTCTTGCTTATACCCCGGATATCGAACCTGGAATTTTTGCCAAATGAGAGCCTCGGCCACAAAATTAAACTAATGGCAGCGAAACAGGAAAACAGAGTGATTCAGACCCTCCTCTCAACACGGCATACGAATTTCTAATGAAGGATTTTTGAAAGCTTCAAGAATTGTAAATTATGATGAGTTTTCACCTTCTGCTCAATAAAAACGGTACGGTCACAAATTATAAAGAAAAGGTATAAAACAGTAGATGCAGCCATCGCCACTTCCTCACAAGGACACATATTTAAACAAAGGACTTTTTGAAACTTCAAAGATTTCCAATTGCAATGAGATATTTTATTCCCAGCTTAGTCACACAATAAAATATATTGTCAGTAAGCTTGGACACAGTAAAGGGGAATGACTTAGCTCCTCGCCACTCCCTGCTTATATCTCTAACATCACACCCTGGGTTTTCCGCCCAATTGCTCAGATTTCAAGTTTAGACAAGAGATTTGACCTCTATCTAAAAACTGCTTTCATTTTAAAATTGGGATGCGATGTTTTACCACCGGATTAAGAAAAAGCCCACAAATTAGTACAATACAGCAATACACAGTTCAAAGGAATAACAGGGTGACTCGTCCACTCACCTCTCCCTACTTATAACCCTAATGCCCTAAGTCATATACGTCTGAGGTGACATATCTAGAGCGGATGGAATTTTGAAAGCTGCAAGACTTCAAATCAGGATGAAAGATTTTACCTCGACCTTACGCAAATGTAGTAGCCATACAATTAAAAATAATGGCAGTTAGCAGTAGAAACAGTAAAGGCGAATGTCTAAACACCTGGCCACTCCCTCCTTATAACCTTAATACCACACCCTGAGCTTTTATTACATATCACAATAGGATGGACATTTGTAAACTAAAACCAACTTCAGTTAGAATGGGAGGTTTTACCGACAGACACTCCCTACGCCCCATGGCACATAGTTTCGAAAAGGCGGATTTTCGAGACCAAAAAGATTTCAAATTAAGATGAAACATCTCTAAAAATTGGTACTGCCAAAGATTTAAAAAATGTCATTAAGCTGAGATACAGCAACAGAAGTGACTCAGTCACTCGCTACTCCCTGCTTATAACCCTAATACCACATACTGCGGTTTTGCTTTCCTCTTAAGGACACATACTTCAACGGACATATTTTCTAAAGCTACATGGATTTCAAATTAGGATGAAAGATTTACCTACAGCTTGGAAACGTGGTAGTCACACAATTAAAATTAATGGCAGTAAGCAGAATACGAACGACTCAACCCCTCGCCACTCCCTCCTTATAACCCTAACGCTGTAATTTTCATATCTTAAAGGGAAAATTACATTTAGGAAAATTACAAGGAATTCAAGGTAAGATGAGAATTATTTATAAAAAAAAGTAATACTGCAAAATAAAAATAAAAAAGGCAGCAAGAAGTAGATAAAGCAAACCTTAGTAACTCAGCTTGGATATATTTTTGTCTGTTTCCATTGTGGTGATAAATTAATATTGCGTGATAATAGACCAAAACTAAACTAGCGAGACTAAACGGACCGGATATTTTCGAATAGAAATATGGCTACTTACAGTTTCGAGCGGGTTGACTATGGCGAACAGGAATCCTCCGCCATCTGGCCTTTCGATCCGTAGTATGAAATGTATGGAAAACTCTGAGTAAAACCTCTCAGGGACGTAGAGTCGGTGGGGTACTTTGACGTCCGAGCCGGGCTTTATCCCCATAGCCGGGAACCCGTCGGTACCGCTCACGAAAAAGAGGTTCTTGTCCTCGAACGGGATCTTGATCGCCTGGAGCAAGTCCGTCTCTGTAGGTTCTGCAAAAAAAAAAAAATAGATGAATGTTTAGCATTGATTGAACAAGTTATGGAATAACGTCATCATCTGTTTTGTATAAGTTTGATTTTGTTTGATTATAACTTTCATCATCGTGATTCGAAGCCACAGCATCGTGGTGTTATAAGTTTGCCGGACGCCGGGAGCGGATCTCTCTCCGGTCGATTTTGAGAAAATATTGACTCGAAGTTGAACCGCAAATGTTCAATAATTACGCGAAGATTCGTCCAACAGCGTTTTTAAGGCTAAATGTACGGAATCCGGAAAAGGTTCGGTTTTCCTCTCAACTTTCCATTATGAAAGTAACTCGAATAGTCGTTTAATTGTTTCCTTTTGCTCAAAAGGTGCACTTACGTAACTCAGGAATAACCGAAGTTTACATGCTTCATTTCAACCAACGATAGTGAAATTTAATAGTTTTCAGTATCCAGTCTTTCAGTAACCTTTTAAACAATCCTCGTCGGATCCGGATTCCAGGTCGTCTATGTACTCCCAAAAGTAGTGGGTAAAAATAGTATGGACCGAGAGCGCTACCCTGATGGACACCCGAGGATTGTGAAGCAGAATCAAACCCAGGTGAGAGATTAGATTAAAGAAAGAAACCTGACTTAGAGGAAAACTCCAGAGAAACATTCCTTTGTTTTAAGGGATGTTGATGTCCAAAACTGTTGGACAGTGGTGTTGCAGGAGAGAATGGCATATCAGCAGTACACAAGGTCTAACCTGTACTCAAAGGTAATAAGGTTAAGTGTGTAAAGGTGTGCACTGCTCTTGAGTTTCCAGAATAAAAATCGGTGCCAGATTCGATCGAAAGTCTGACTTTATTCTCAAGGGTCGAATAGTGTCTTGAGCAAATGTTAGGACAGTGTTGTCAGGATGGTAACTGGTCGTTCGCAGTTTCTTTAATAAAAGTAGCTTTTAATTTCTGATGGTGCGTTTGGGGCATTGTTTGATCTAAGGGTGCGTGAATAAAGGGCCTGAATTCTCCGGTTCGTTCAAGCTCTCACGTCAAATTTCCATATTGGCTTTAGTGTCTAATTGTCTATAGTCTTTTAAGTGCTCGTTTTCGTTTGTACCTGTCAGTTAAGTCCGGGAATAAGGATTTCTGATCAGATGTTTATCTAGATACACCAAATGTAGCGGATTACTTTTAAGTAGAAAGGGGATGAGGTTACAATAATTTGGGGGTAGATGCAACATCGGTGGTCGTCGGGTCATCGCGTTGCGTAGCAGTGTAGCACTCGCTTTAAGGCTATACTTTGGGTCTTTGTAGTGTTGAGTGTGATTCAACATTTTTTGGTGTAGGTGGGTCCTGTGTGTTCCGGATGGGAAGGGATATGAGGTACACTAAGGTAAGGTACACTCGTGTTCACTTTGTTCAAAAGGAGAATAAGAGAATCCCAACTTTATTGTACATGTAAGCCAGGTAAGACTTGAGGATGAGGGCGTGTGTAGAATGCCCTTTACTTTCTAAAGCAAAACAAGGTGCCAGGCATGATCGAAAGCCTGACATCGAGTAAGACCTCCCGAATAGATTCCCTTTTTCTCAAGGGAGGGTGCGATGATATCCTAAACTGGTGAACCGTGGAATTAGAGGATAGAACAGTACGGTCATCAAATAATATTTAATTCTATGTCCAAGGATTCTTAGGTGAATTTACGATTTGTTGAGCTTTTAGGAATAAAAAAACATTTCAGCTCTGATTTCAGCTGGTCGATACGATCTACGAGTTTTTATCGATGTAATTTTAAAAATTTTGGTACCATATAATTCTTCGATCAAGATGTTCAGGAAATATCAGTAATGGCTTTTTAAACAAAGATAAAGATAGTACGACCTGTCCATAATATAAAGTAATACATTAAAAAGATAGCACATAAAAGTGAAAAGAGATGTCATAAGGACTGACCCGCAAAAGGGTAACTTACTGTGTTCTAGTGGAGCTACGTTAAACCGCTAAGCCGGCGAAGTACGGTGCGCCGCCGCTAGGAAGCTCTCGCCGGTACTTACAGTAGAAAAAAGCCCGCTTTAAAATATAACTTATGAAATTTCTTGCCAATCAACTTGATAACATATTGAACAGGGTGACTGGCGATAAGTGCGGAAAATTTCAGGACGAGTTTCTACTCACCATATGAAACAAAAAACTTAATTAATAGTCCGAATCTCAACGGAAAAGAAGTAATTTCAATTTGTTTTGTTTTCGACTTAGGTCCACTAAATTGCTTATAACTTCAGATTAACTGTTTACTTTAAGTTAGTGAATGTAAGTCGAATAAAACCTGAAATTACCTTTTCATCGTTGAGATTAGGACAAGGATTTATAAAAAATATTTTCTTGCATAAGGTATTCAACAAGACTTTCTGAATTTTTGGACACTTATCGCCAGTCACCCTGAAATAAAACTGTTATTATTTAATTGCCTTTTGATGGTACTTTAATAAAGTCCTGTTTTAATATTTGGATAATTTTAGGCCTTTTTCTTTTACTAATGTAGAATACACTACAAACTACTAGACTTAGAATAGAACTAGAATGGGTTAGTATATTTAACAGAGATTAAAAAATCGAATGATTGAAAATTGGCCATACTAGTATAACCTTTACAGATGGAAGATCGTTCATGTTTTACTAGATTTGAAGCTTGAATGTTTCAGAACTGTTAAAAACAATTGGTTTGTAATATTATTAATATTTAATGATTTTAGGCGTTTTATATTAAAATATTTGAATGATTATTTAATGTGGCGATGTTTCCCCGGCCATGACCGAACGGTCTCTTTAGCGTCAGCATATTAAGGCTTCGTCGTATATTAAGCACATTCAGCCGGTGTTTTCGGGGTTTCGTGGTAAATTGCCGTTCCGAGCCGACTTCTTGGTTCCAATTTACGATTTAACAACCATATCGGACAGAAAGAGAAAGGGAAAAAATGTGTATGTGAAGTCATAATAACTGACATCGGCCATAACTGATTCAAACATTTTTGTTTACTTTGAATCCGAAGAGATATTAAAAATAGGCAAGACTTTCATAATTCGAGAAATACATTAAGTTAATTAGAAAAAATATATAAAAACTCTAATATTATTGTAATCTGAACGAACAACCGATATCCAAAAGAAAAAACAAATATAAACTGTATAGATTAAATTAATGTTTCATAACCAACTGATTCATAGCTTACTTAAACAAATTTTTGGCAAGTTAACTTATTTTTTATGACTACGGTACATAGGTACACACAATAATTACAAATCATCTTATAACAAGGAATTTTAGATTTTCAAAAACACTTATAAAGGATTTTTTATCGTATTTCAGATTCCAACTATTTACCCTGGGAAATGAAATCAATAGATTTTTGTAGGCTGAGATATAGGTTTCCACGTAAACGGTTAAATATTTTAGATCTAATTAAATTAATAAAAAAATATTACAAATATTAATTATTTATATGCTATATATTTATATATAACGAATATGGCTTGAAGGTAAACAAAATTATTTTAAGTGATTTTTTTCACCCCCAAAAAATTTATATTCTTCATAAGATAGAAAAAATGATGAAGATACGGTTTTACTCGTGTTAGGCTTAAAATCAATGATTACGTATTATTTATAGAAATTTTTCACATAAAATAAGGTATAGAAAGATTAAATGAAAAAAGGAAGTTTCAAATTTATTTTCACAAAAAAATTATATTCGTTTATAACCTAGAAAATATATTTTACACATTTTTTTTACCATATTACGTTCAAAATTAATGACTATGTATTTTTTTAAAGATATTTTTCAACTTAAAATAATGAATAGTATAAAAGTTAAACAAAAAAGGTTTCAAATTATGTTCATTTAGAAGATAGAAAATAGACTTTACATACATTTTTTACAGATTTTTCGTTTCCACGTGAACTTTTAAATATTTTAACCCTAGTTGAATAAATAAAAAATTATTACACACATTAATTGTTTGTATGCTAGATATTTATATATCACAAATTTGGCTTGAAGGTATAAAATATGTTTTAGGTGTTTTTTTTCCACTCAAAAATATTTATATGGTTTATAAGCTAGAAAAACTTTACTTGTGTTAGGCTTAAAATCAATGATTACGTATTATTTATAGACAATTTTTTCACATAAAATAAGGTATAGAAAGATTAAACAAAAAAAAGAAATTTTCTAATTTATTTTCACAAAAACAAATTATATTCATTTATAACTTAGAAAAGTAAATTTGACTTATTTTTTACCATATTACGTTTAAAATTAATGACTATGTATTATTTTTAGATATTTTTCAATTTGAAATAATGAGTGGTATAAAAGTTAAACATAAAAATAGTTTCAAATTATGCTAGAAAATGTAATTTACATACATTTTTACACTAAAAATCGATGATGACATGACAGTAGTTTTAATGTAAATTCCGCCAGTATATAAAATTTGAGTAAAACCAGGTTTCAAATTACATTACAGCTAAAAATAAATTTTAGCTGTACTACATGTACAGCTAAAAGTACTACTATGTACATTGACTTAAAGTCAATGATTATATATGATTTCTATACATGTTCAATGTACATTTCGTTAGTTTGTAAAATTTGAGTAAAAACAGGTTTCAAATTACATTACAGCTAAAAATAAATTTTAATGTTACAATGTAAAAGCATGAAAATAGACTTTAAACGCATTTTGTGAGATTTTTAGACTTAAAGTCAATGATTATATATGATTTCTATAGATGTTCAATGTACATTTCGTTAGTTTGTAAAATTTGAGTAAAACAGATTTCAAATTACAATTCAGCTAAAAACAAATTTTATTGTTACATTTAAAGCTTGAAAATAGACTTTACACACATTTTTTAAGTATAAATCAATGATCATATATCATGTAACATAATTGATTACATTATTTACACCGAGTTTTTAAAATATAAATTTCGTCAGTATGGGAGTATAAAAACATGTTTC